GGAAAATTCCCGTTATCTATGGCAAGTTGCAAAGTTACCTACACCCATAGTGCACAGGAAGTGGCGGGATGGAAGATAACCGCAAACAAGCCTCTGAGGCCTCGATGCAATAGCTGGGCGGGCTCTTTGGCTCCAGACAGGCAGACAGCTTGGCTCTATGGCTCTGGATAGGTCCCCCTTTTTTATTTTTCCAAGCCAAGAGAACCTCTCAGGAACTGTGCCTGTCTTAGGTTGGGGCAATCTATCCCACATAGAGTACCCATCATAGGATTAGACTGCAGCAGAGGTGGTGTGGGGATGTTACCCTCTTACCCGTCTTTGGCTATCCAGTTCAGCTCAGAGAGGCAGCATTTGTTAAGGTGAATGTAGTGGTATATAGGCACCGCTTAGTTCTTGCATCTTAAGGCGTTGATAATGGATCTGTATAGGCCTTTCCTGAATAGCCTCAATTTGCTGTTTAATGAATGCCATAAATTTGTTGAACAGAAAAGGACCCAAAGAAAGCAAAAGAAGCAAGCCCACAAGCGGCCCTAAAAAGGGTAAGTGATAAGGCAGGAATCCATTAAGTCCGGACCAAAGGGGGTTTTTCAACACAACTATAAGTGGGAGATGATGAGGACAAATAAGCTGAATTGGTGTCACAATCTACAACAGATACATATGATGTAGGAGGACTAGAAACGGTCTCACCCTTGCAATCACATGGTTTTCCGTACTGTTTGTTCACCAATTGGCGAGCGAGTCCATGATCTCCAAAGCCAGAGTGGACCTTGGGCAGCTGACCAGACAAACCAACAATCAGGAAGAAAATGCTGGTTTCCATGACCCCTGTGGAAAAAAAAAAGAAAAAGACATGCTCAGGGATCTAGCAAATCCCTGGCTGAGAGGTTATGATCAACTTGTTTAACCAGCCGTTCTGGCAGCCATCTGTCCAAGTTATGAGTGCGAGAAAAAACCCAGACTGAACCTCTACCCCAGATCAAAACTGGATCTGGGCCATTCCAGGAGTTATCTAGGGGGTCGAGTTTCAACTCGTCCCTGGACTTAGGCAAGGCTATAGGGTGATATTGTAAAGGGGGGAACAAAGTTTCGTGCCCCACAAACTTGTTTTGCGGCCTGGGGCTGGCCCCACTTCCCGTTTCCCTGAAGGGGTGGCAAGGAATTTCCCTGAACATCAGTCTTAGATCTGCACTCATTGGCCCAATGCTTTCCTTGTTTACACCGCGGGCAAAGTCCCGGGGCTTTAGTTGATTCTTTATTATGACTATTTTGACAATTTTTTGCAAAATGTCCGGATTTGCCACATTTGAAACACTTCCTAGTATTTTTATTCTGGTTAGCCAGAAAGTCTTTTACAGACTGACCGCTAAAAGCAGCTGCCATAGCCATAC